CAAGCATTATCTTCATCAAACTCAACATCTCTACTTATGGTGACCTTGCCATTTTTGGGGTTATATAATTTATAACCTTTAGAACTTTGATCATAGTCAATGAAGACATACCCCTCACTTTTGTCATCAAGCTTAGACCTCTTCTCATCTGACACATGTGCATTGCGATGCTCCCAAAAACTCACAAATGAGCATGTTTTGGCTTGAAACCGCTCCATGCTTCTTGTGGTGTTTTTCCACGAATGCTTTTGGTGTGAAACCGATTTGATAAGTACACTGCACAAGCAACAGCTTCAGCCCAGAACTCTTTTGGCATATTTTTGCTCTTCAACATACTCCTCGCCATGTTGAGAATAGTTCGATTCTTTTTCTCCACGATGCCATTTTGTTGTGTTGATCTCGGAACTGTCAAGTAATGACGAATTCCATTTTTTCACATATAATCTTGAATTCATTTGAAGTGAATTCCCCACCATTATCGGACCTAAGTGACTTAATTTGATAACCACTTTGCTTCTCCACCATGCTCTTAAACTTTTTGAAGATTTCAAACACCTCCGATTTTGCCTTCAAAAAATAAACCCAAGTTTTTCGAGATAAATCATCAATGAAAAGTAAAAAAAATTACTTTTACCAAGTGAAGATGGCTTGATAGGTCCGCACACATCCATGTGAATTAACTCGAGAGGGCATCTTGCTCTTGTTAAAGACTCTTTATGAAAGCTTTTCCTTGCTTGCTTTCCAAAGAGACATCCTTTACAAAGTTGGTTGGGATGATCAATTATTGGCAATCCATTCACCATGCTTTCCTTCTTCATCAACCTTAGGCTATCAAAATTCAAGTGACCAAATCTCATATGTCAAACCCAAGATGAATCTTTGGCACATGAAAACAAGCACCTCGGAATATCATTTTGAAGATATAAGATGAACATTTTATTATTAGCCATAAGTACTTTGGCTAAAAATCTTCCCTTTTCATCTCTCATATACAACTTTTTGTCTTTCAAATGAATGTCATAATTTTTCTCCAAAAGTTGTCCCAAACTTAAAATATTACTTTTCATCTCCGGCATATACAAAACATTGGAGATTAGTTGATGATTTTCATCTTTTAAGCAAATTAAAATCGTACCTTTTCCTTTGATTTGAACTCGCGAAGAGTCTCCAAAAATGATTGGGCCACCATTCAGCTCCTTAATCTCCACAAATAAATTTTTCTTTCCACAAATATGACTACTTGTACCAGAGTCAAGGTACCATTTGTTCTTTTCCACACTTTCTTCTCCTTTGGATGCAAGAAGTAGAGTGGCATCCTCGTCTTCATTTTGCTCTCCACAAAGTTGTTTTTCTCCTCCGAATTATCTTTACATTCCCAGGGAAAATGTCCAAATTTATGACAAGTATAACATTCAACATTCGATTTGTCATACCTTCCTTGATTTTGTCTCCATCCTTTGCATCTTCCACGACCTCTTCTTTGACTATAGTCTTGGCTTTTATTGTCTCTATTTGGTGGTTGACTACCACCTCTTCCTCCTCTACCACAACCTCTTCCATTTCCATGACCTCTTTGCTGCGAACCACGCCTTTCATCTTTCTCCTTGAAGGAAAGTTTTGCTTGCAATGCCTTTTCAACCGATTCTTCTTTCGGTTTCTTCAATTTTTCTTCATAGGCTTGCAAAGAACTCGAAAGTTCATCTATGGTCATGGTGTCCAAGTCTTTGGACTCTTCAATAGCAACAACAATATAATCAAATTTTGAATCTAGGGATCGTAGTATTTTTGCAACGACCCTATCATCCTTCAACTCTTCACCATATCTTTTCATTTGATTGACAATAGCCAAAACTTTTGAAATGTAATCTGAAGCAGATTCATTTTCTTTTACATGCAATGATTCAAACTCTCCTCTTAAGGTCGGGAGATGAACCTTTTTCACTTTGTCCAAACCTTTAAAGGAAGTTTGAAGAATTTCCCATGCTTGCTCGGAGGTTGTCGCATTTGCAACCTTCTCGAACATCTTGTCATCCAAACCTTGGTGGATGAGAGTGAGTGCCTTTTGATCTTTCTTATTTGTAGCTGCGGCATCTTCCGCTTCATCAACTCCAGACTCTGTCGGTTCCCAAACATCATAGGCACCAAGCAAGGCCTTCATTCGAATACACCAATTCCCATAGTTCTCTTTTGTTAGCATAGGAACTTGGAATGGTGTTCCATTAGTGTTTTTTATCTTTTCTCCAAGTTTGGTTGTCTCTCAACACACCGGCTTCGATACCAAATGTTAGAAATTTTTGGGAGAGCAAGACAACTAAACAAACACTCAAAACTCACTATTAGAGAGGTGGAGGAAAGGATGATTTTTATTCAACTTCACTTGTTCCAAATGGCTAGCATACATGAGTATTTATAGTAGAACTCCTACATGTATCTAGCCTAAACTTCACGTGTACATATTAATTAAGTCCACACATGTACACACTAGTCCATATATGCCTACACTAGTTCACACAAATTCACACATGTCCACACCTCACTCTTTTCTAACTATATGTATAAAAATATTAAATTAATGTAAACAAATCTAAACAAATGTGGACAAATGGAAACAAGTTTATTACTATTTTTAACACTTCTTTCCCCTTTTTTTCAAAATTTGTCTAAAATCTCTCTATTCTTTCCTTATATGTTTGAAGTAAGAACACGTTAGGGACAAGTTCGCGAGCTGCTATAATTTTACATATAACTAATTAATTAAGTTAATTTTGGCTCTTGTCNCACTTGACTCATAAGAAGTTAACCTACATTACCTTCTAACCAGGTGCCAACTTGGCTCAAATTCTCGAACTATTTCCAGTTGTGGTCCATGCAATAACTCATATATGGTTACCTTGGCTTACTATTCATCCATTCAAGGTAAGCCTTCTTCTTCTGCCTATCAACAGGTAAGTAAACATGCAATTTATATACTTTTTTCTCTTTTACTCTATCAATTCTTTTCTTATTTATACCTCATGTTGTCACAAAACACTTCTTAGATAATTCATTCAGTCTCTTAATAATGTCACTATTTTGCACTTGGACAATTATCAATCTTTATAGCAATTAACTTTGTAGCTCTACACATTTGCTGCAAATGCCTGCACCTCTTGCACCACCTATATCTCTAGTAGCTTTTACTCCACCATGATGTGGTAGTAATATGATCCCTTCCAGTTATATCTTTGGGTGATAACGATGGTGGACCGTCTTCCTTATCAGTATGTTACTTTGTTGTTGTTGTCACCCCTTCCAACTATTTTTTCAGTCTATTAAATTTTTCGTCCATTATTTCATAGTCAAGTAGAATAAAGTTGTAACTACCTGACCGGCCATTTTGTATATTTGAGCTCCATTTTCTTGTTTGATTCTTCTCATATGTTTGTTTGTTATTTTGTGACTTTCCGGGCAGGGGGAGGGGATAGAGTGATTGTTGGTTGGCTTCGAGAAGGTTTGAAATGGATTTGGGACACTTAAGTCTCTTTTTGGAAGCACAAGTCATTAGAGTTAATTAAGGTTTGACTTTTCGGTAAATGATCTCAGATTGGTGATTTGATGATTCCAATAGGTTTGTATGGTAATTTTGGATTTAGGCGTATGTTCGGATTTAGATTTGGAGGTTCCTAGTAGTTTTGACTCTATTTGCTGAAAGTTGGCAAGTTGAACTTTTGGAGAGTTCATATGTTTGACCAGTAGTTGACTTTGATGTTATTGGATTCCAATTGGTGTTACAGAACTTTGGATAGGTTAACCAACCTGTACGCAATGTTTGGATGTGATTCGAAGTGTTTAGGCATGAATCGGACACTTGGTTGGAAGTTAAGAAATACTTAAACTTAATAGAAGGTCAACTTGTGGTTTGATTCTTCACTCGTAGATGTGATGATCTCATAGGTGTTTGGAGGATTTGGATGGATTTGGATTGTATTTATGGCCTTTTTGGTAAGTTTGGACGGGTNGTCTCACATTTGCAATGAAGGATTTTGGGATTGAGTACTTCATGCTCTGCAAGGGGAGCCGCATTCGTGAAGGAGGATCGGAGTATGGGGTTGTTGTTTTTCGCATTCGCAGAGTGTCAGTCGAGTTCGCCTAGAAGGATCTTGGTTGGGGAGTGTCGTGCCCCCTTTTTCTCGCGAAATCAGGTTTCGACATTTCTAGAACAACTCTTTTTGAGAGGGTAGGGAATTGGAAGAGTCCACACCTAACAAATTAAGGTTCCACTACAAGAAATCGGACCTTTTGTGGCGATCAAGGATCCCATAGTCCCTTAGACGGATCTAAGGTAAGGAAAAACAGTCACGCTAATGCCGGTCATAGAAAATGAAAAACAATCTCCACAATGCTATAACCATGGAAAATGATATATGCAAGCCCCCCAAAACGAAGATTGCAGATTACTAATGATATGCTAAAAAGAGATGCCAAAGTAACCCTGAGAAATGCGCGGATTCGCTGCAAATAACCAACAGCACCACCAAATGCGGCCTGCAATAGTCAATATGAAATACTCCTATGTCCCAAAAAAGAAAGACAGAGATTGGTGAACGACGGTCAAAGTATGTCATTTTATATGTTCATTTGAGCATCAATTCCTCAAATATTTAAATAAATAAACCTTTTTAGAGACAACGTAAAAACTACCATAAATCACATTTGCTGAATTTAAAAGTACTTTGATATGTTTGAAAAAAATTTAATAAAAGTTATGCCTCTTCAAATAGTAACAGCATCATCATATGAAGTAGGACAGGCAGAGCATATCATTTTTTATTTTTTTGATGAGCAAGCAGAGAGTATGACACTGCGTCTTGTGTACTACGGTAGTTCAATCTTGTCTCAGTTTTTCACCTTTCATGCATGTTTTTTTCTAATATACTACTCTTATTTGTCCACAGGAAACTACAACATAAACAATTCAAGTACATCTTTCCCTTTGACTTTTGTTAGATGACAGGACAGAATTCTTAGAATCCAAGTACTTTGCAACTATTCCGTTTCAAGCCCCAGGTAACAATCTTCATGTTCTTTTAATTAGGTGTAATAATTGACATCTTAGTTCTCTAATTACATAATAAATCAATACAAGATATAATCACAAAAACTAAATAGAAGAAATATACTGGCTTCGCAGGAAGGAGGAACCAAGCCATGAAGAGCCAAGCTGGGGAACTTACTTTGAAGGGAAAACTACGCTCTCTTGCACTATTGAGATTCTTGACAACTTCTCCATATACAGCAACTTTTTTCTCAAAAATGGGCCTATTGGCTAATGGTACAGACTCCACACTAGCTAGACCGGAAGAAATCTGAGGGCTATATGTCAAAGATGCTATTTGCCCCTAACGACCACCTAAAGGGCTTGATTCACTGATATTGGTCCTAGGTAAGGCAGAAATTCAGCTTAGGCTCCGGAGGAAGTCCCCTTTTTCCTTCTTCCACTCGTTCTGTAACAAAGTCCACAATGCAACTAGACTTTAAATAAGCATAAAAGACAAAGGAACCAAACATATACATATTAAAATCTAGATAGAAAAGAAATAATAAAAGTAATATGGCCTTTTCATGTCGAACTTAAGAAGCTAAATTCTGATAAGAATCAAAATATGTGAGTTGTGATGTTAGCAACTCACACCACAAAGAAGATAACCATATAAAAAGCAGCAGGGCAACTAACCTCCAGAACTTTCATCATGTAATCATTAAAATTTTTTAGGTTATCCTTCTGAGCTTCTTGGACCGCAGAGACCATTGCCATTTCATGGATCTGTTTTGCAGCACCCAAGATTACAACATCAAGCATTATTATCCTTTATTGTATGAAGTAAAATAGAGCAATGCACAAAATATAATGATGCAGTTGGATATTACAAAAGTATCAAACTGACAAAGAAAAAAAGATCAAACAACAGAAAAGGATATGAGATATCCTGAGATGATGATGCATTTCAAGCGAAACAGAAGGTGATCCGTGGAGATGCTGAAATGTATTCCTTTACTCATTGCTGGGAGGAAGAGAAAACAACACTAGGTAGAGAATACCCATTTTGAAAGAACTTAAATTGAATTACGAGTACTACTTCAGAGCACACTGTGCAGAAAAATATCTAAAAGGTCTTGCAAAACACAAATGCAATTTGTGGCATTTACAAGTACTTTACAACTCCTAAAATCGACAATAAAAAGAACCACAACTATAAGAACAATCTCTCTTTGGTTGTAGGATCTCCTTATCGGAGGAAGAGTGTTAAAATCTTTTTGATAAATCAAATTCTTATCATTGATATTGCACCAAGGTAGTACCAAAATAATTGCAATGTCAATAAGTAGCTAAGCAACCATCTTCTAACACGTTGCATGAAACATCTATGCATACAGGCATTTTCTCCTTACACCAAATGAAAATATGAAAGAGAAATGACTTTACAACACTGCTAATTTGCTACCCTCTCTCCCCCAGGAATATTCCCCCTTAACATCACTAATCGTTCCAAAATAATGGACTAAGGTATAACTGGTTGTCACTCTAACAAAGTATCATTCTCTCGTATACGATGATATCATCCCTCATCTCCATTCCCTGAACATCACCATTCTCCCTTCTCCAATTCCCATCCAGCTCATGCAGTCTGACTTTGCTTCTCAAAAAGAGTGTTATAATAGAAACCCAGTTACTAGCATACTATAACAAAGTATCAATCTCTTGTATTCGATAATATCATCTCTCATCTCCAATCCCTCAATATCCCTCAATAACCCAAAAATTAATAAACAATAAATACCCAAATACTATGAAAGTTTGTGCTTCTTCTACTAAGAAAAGAACAACCCAACTTTTATAATTAACACAAAATTACTACTCGATTTCGTTAGAGAAAGAGAGAGCGAGAGACTAGATGCTGGCAAGACCGCGAATCAAAAATAGTTTACTACTCAATTTTTTCGGAGGCCAAGAGAAGTTCAGCATCAGACTAAAAGCTCGGAACCCCCACTGACTCCTCACCATAGACTATTACTGTATGAATTTCTTATATAGATTTTAACTGGGTCACAAAAATTATAGGTGAAATATGTGAAAGCATTGAAATTATCAGTCTCGCAAATTGTATATACCATCGAAAAGGGATTTGAGTTTGAGATAGGAGCATGTACCTGATGGAGTCACGATTTCTGATTAGGGATTTTGTGTTGCTATCAGATGGATCACAATTTGTGATTTGAGCGGTTCGAATTGAGAGATTTAAGCAAAGAGGAAATTGAGAGGGATAATTTTCTATAGATCAGTGTGTGCTTCTTTTTTCATTTAATAAGAGTGGTTTTTCTTAAAAGCTTTTATTAGTGTTAGAGGCGACTGACTCGCCACAAAAAGGCCTTCAGAGGTGACAGTATAAAAAGTCGCTACATAACTCTCAAAGCCAAAACTTCGGTCTTAGCGGGAAAGAAAAATTTAGTGTTTAGCTTCACGTATTAGGAGCGACCTTTGAAAACTCGCCACTAAAAGTTTACCTTCTGTTGCAATAATTATAGTCGCCACAAAAAGTCTAGCTTTTGCTGCAATAAATCAAGTCGCCACTAAATATTGCCACAATAAGTCTGATTTCTTGTAGTGTATGTTAGGGCACCTAGAGAAAATAACTCATATAACCAGTTTACATCACTAGAGATCGGGTAAAGGTTCGAAACTACCTTGAGGGGAAGGTGTTAGGTAACCCTCGAGGACCACAACGGTGGTCCTAATCGAAATTAATTTAAGCAAATTAGTCTAAAGGGGAGAAAATAATTTGGGCAAATACAATATTTAATTTATTTAAACAGGGTATAGGGGGTCCTAAGTTTTTTAGCTAACAGGATCATTCCATGTAATGCTTTGTAACTCCCTCAAGTTGGGGTGTTACTTATAGCATTAGCGCACGGGCTATCATATCCTTTACTACCCAATTACTATCCTTAAGTTGTTACCTAAAGTGCACTAGTTAATTCTAAACCATACCCTATGCGTACATTACCAGTCCCTTACCTATGGCCCTGGAGGTAATAGGACCTCTATTAAGGATAGTTCTAGACGAATCCTATATTGCTTAAGAATGTGAAATTTAGGTGCCAAACAAAAACAAGTAGGACTTTCAAATAAAGCAAGTATGGGCTCACATTGACCTCCACACATAGGCAACAAAAGCACGCAATGGAATCAACAAACTTTATTAACTTTGGAATCCAACAAGCAGGATATCTATGTGATAAAATAGAGTGTAAAGACAATTTTATTAAGGCGAGCATTGAGACCTATTTGTTTGCCTACTGATTTTATTCAGCATGGATCTGGACATTTCAGGCAGTAGTATGTCATAGTTTTAAACCCAGAATCATTAGTAAGTCCTACAGATACATTGCCTAAGTGATTAACAAGAGCGATTGAATTCAGAAGCGGTTAACTGAATCCTGTAGGCATGTTTTATATGAACTTGTAATTACAGACCTATAAACATGGTTTCTATGTGTAGCATTAATTTTAACTTATAAAGACAAGTTTTATTCCTTTTAAAATCCTATAGGCATACTTTCTAATTGCTGAATTAATTTAAACCTTATATGCATGATTTCTAAATACTGACTTGATTTAAACCCCTATAGGCATGATTTCTAATTGCTGACTTGATTTAAACCCCCTATAGGCATGATTTCTAATTGCTGACTTGATTTAAACCCCTATAGGCATGATTTCTAATTGCGGGGTTGGTTTAAACTACTACAGACAAGATTTCTAAGTTTCAGAACTGATTTCACCCTATATGCATGATATCTATTAGTTTTAAATCCTATAAGCATGATTTCTAGGGTTGAAACTGATTTTTATTCCTATAGGCATGATATCTATTAATCGTATTAGGACAGAAATTAACAGATTATCGTGAAAGATAATCAATAAAAGTCTTATAGATATGGTCAATAATGCACATTGGGTTGAAAATATGTACAGATCCTATGAACAGGATTTCTAATGCAGAATCAAGTGAAAAGTCCTATTGAGCAGGATTTCTAGCATGCAAGCACAGAATTAGAAAAATCCTATAGGCAGGATCTCAAACACAGTCTAGCATTCACGTAATTCAATTAACATAATTAAACATATAAGCAGGATTTCTACCCAGATTTAACAAAGGTATAAGAAACCCTCCCAACTTTTACTAATAAACCCCAAATATGTTATTACAGAGATTATAGCCCAGAATGAATGAATTACATAATAGTAACGATTACACTATAGGGAGCCTTCGTAGGCCCAATCTAAATCTGGGAACCAGGCCTTCAAACATAACAGATCTGGAGCATAATAGTGATCCATCTATGGTATATAAAATTAGGCTTCCAATGTATCAAAGTTCCCAAAGAGCCTCAGGGACCCCGAGCAATGCTCACACCAGAACCACACAAAAAGAGTTCATAAAAGATTGGAAAATCAGCCCCCAGTGTGTCAGAGTTCAGAGGAGTCTCAGGGACCCTAGGAAGTGCTTACACTAGGGGTGGTGAGAACCTAAATGACTATGAGTAGGAGTTTGAAAACCAATGCATAAAGGGTAAGGGGCAAATCTTTAAAATAGTTTACTTTCAAAAGCAAGCAAATTCAGAATACAGAGTTACAGACAATATTGTACCAACAAAACAAACAAAGTTCATGTTCAGCACATAGTTCAAACAAATTGGCATTTGATTAGGCTAAATACTAAAGCAATCATGGCTTAAACACAGAGACAGAAATAGATTGGACCTATAAATTAAACCACAAACATATTTGATTACATGCTTACAGTATCTGGCAAGGTTTAGAAAGAAAAAAGACTAAACATTAAAACTAACTTAGGAAAAGGGGTCACATTATTTGAAGCAACTTAGTTTAACATTATTACTAAATGGGATCATGTAGTCATATAGAAAGCAGAGTCATGCTGAAGATTGAAACAGACTAATTGAATAAAGTATAGAGAACAAAATAGTAAGAGCTAAGGCATACCAGTTGAGAAGAAAGCAAGTAAGAATGCAATAACAGTTAAATTCTAGAGAGTTTGTCCTTGGCTTTCAGCCAGCCAAATAATAGCCACTTATTGCAGAAATCAGAATAAGAGAATAAAGAGAGAGCTTAAGTTTTTGTAAGAACAGAGAGTTCGAGAGTTGTCCAGTTGTTGTAAAGGAAGTGAGGAAGGGGGTTTAAATAGCACCCAATGAAGGAAACAAATAAGGTAATGAACCAGTACTACCCAAATAAGGTATGAAAATAACTTAACAATCAATTAAGGTCGGCATGAATCAATTAACAAGACAGAATCGAGTAAAGTTATTCTAGTATCACTTAATTTGAGGAAAATCTTATATGGAATCAATCAGTAGTCAAGTACTAGGTTAAATGAGGTAATAACTATTTCCAAAATCAATTAGAAGCCGAATTTAATAATCAGAACATAAAATTAGGCCAGTAAGGTTAAGTTAAGGGAAGTAGCACAAATTATTAATCAAACATTCGTCCAAATAAGGTAATAACAGGTAACCGCATAAGTAAACACCAGTACTGTACAGAAAAGGAAAACTAATTTCAAACCCTAATTTAGGTAAATAAAATCAATTAGCAATTAGTCACCAGAGTTAAAGGCAAACAGGAAGAAACAGTAAGAATGAACGGTTAAATAATCGGAACCCTAAGAGAATAGGCAAAAATACAAAGACATATAATAAGTAAAATCAGTCTAAGTTAAATGAGGAAACCCTAACAGATACCTAGAGACGAAAACGTTTAAAGGTTAAAAATATTTTTTGCAAAATCTGTTGAAATCAAAACCCTACTTCTAGGGTAAACAAGATCGGTCAGGAATAACAAGAGAAAAAGACTAGGAAATATAGAGACAGAAGTATCGAAATTTTAAAGTAGAAATACCAAAACAAACATAAAACCATTTCAGATCTAGGAAGATCTAAACAGATTCAACCAAAAATAGTCAGATTCATAAAAAATAAACAAAAGTTGAACCAAATCTTGTTTGAACCAGAGATTTGAAACCCTAAGATACGAAAATATTCGTACTCACAGGTATTGGGATGAACATAGACGGAAATAGCCAAGATATGAGAGACTTTGAACTAGATCTGGTTCGAGTCTCTTGAGATTCACTTGCCATTTGAGGCAAATGAATCAAGTAACATCAAGATCGGGTAGCCAGTAAAGAAACAAAGCCAAATAAGGCAGGAAATCAAGGGAAGATCCCATGAATCAAAAGGGAAAGTGTGACGGCGGGCTAGGGTTTTAGAGTGAAAGAGGTGAGGAGATGATAGGATCAGAAGACAGCTTGTAGGGGGAAGAAATGATTTAGGGGTTGGGGGGTGTTTGATATATTTAGAAGGGGTAAATGATTTAGGGCTATTGATCTTCTGAGATCAACGGCCAGGATTAGATTTTAGGTAGGGGGCTTAATTTGGACGGGTATGGGTAGTTGGGTTAGAGTGATGGGTATTGGGTAAGGGCTGGGGTAGGTCCGAAAAAAATCAAGTAAAAAGGGCTATATTTTAAATACCCATTTAAATTAATAAAATAATTTATAAAAATAATTACTTAATGATAAAAATGCTATTTGTATATCAAAATAATTTAAAATAATCATTTAATATTATAATAATATAAAAAGTCATTTTTCGTATAAATAATGTAATTATACATATATGGGCTATTATTGAAAAGTTATTGCAATTATAGCCTAAAGATACTAATAAAAATATGCACAAAATGATTAAAGCTCAATATAAATATAAATGATAAAAATTAAGCAAGAAATCATTATAAAATTATTTGTGATGCAATTAGTAATTATTTAGATAATAAAATACTGGAATAAATTAATTAAAATCCTTTTAAAATTACATAAAATTATGGAAAAATACTGATTGATGCTCATGCACTATTTTGAAAGTATATATTTATTTTTAAAAATATACGAGGAAAAAATTGGGTATCAACAGATGCCCCTCTTTATACGGGAAGGATGAAAGAGTTGTTTGGTAAAGAAATAATGACCGATTTTGACCGAATGGGGGTGTTTTGAAAAATATAGGCCGACTCTGGTCTCTGAGCTGCCTACATATCCCTGATTTTACAGGAATTAGGCCGTGTGTAGTTCTGGACCCAACAGTGAATGAAACCGATGGAATTGTTATAGAAATAATTGTATGTTTCAGAAAAGGTTCTTTTGGGAAGGGATAGTATCGGATGGGTTTATGCGGAGTTATGAAGGTGAATCTAAATTGTAACGGATGTATCACAGGGCAGGTATCTGAACGGTCAAGAGTTAAGGCGAGTATTTGATGGGAATTGGTTACATTTG